CTTGGCTGCACCCGTCCAGGGTAGAACCTAATGACACTCACCTAGGGGCCTGGGGACAGCAGTTCATAGTTCAAATGCCGCAGACTCACTGTTCTTACTGAGGTGCAGTAGATTTTCTTGAACAAGTGTTTCTTCAATTGCTGTATGCCCTTAGGACAGTTTCCAGAGACTTTAAATTTTTTTTAGTAGTTTTCAACACTGAAGGTTGTTTCACTAGAGAGTCTGTGGAATCCCTCAGTCTGCTGTTCTGGAAATTGTTCTTACCAATTTTTTTTTAAATTTATTTTGTTGTCAAGACTACAGCAGCAAAACATGCACCAATTCAACAGTTTCTACATGTACAATTCACTGACAACTGATTACACTTTCCGAGTTGTACAACCATTCTCACCCTCCTTTTCTGAGTTGTTCCTCCCCCATTAACAAACTCACTGCCCCCAAAGGTTCCTATCTAATCTTTCGAGTTACTGTTGTCACTTCGATCCCATATAGATAGTTCTTAAAAGAGCACAATGCTCAAGGCAGATGTTTTTTTACTAGCTTAGCTAAGTTATTGTTTGCTTTTAAGAAGATTTCAGGGTATATTTTTAGTTTAAGTTTTAAAGATTATCTCAGAGCAGTAGTTTCTGGGGTTCATCCATCCCTCATGACTCCAGAAAGTCTGGAGTCTATGAGAATTTGAAGTTCTGTTCTGCATTTTTCCCCTTTTGATCAGGATTTGTCTATAGGATCTTTGATCAAAATGTTAGTAATGGTAGCTAGGCACCGTCCAGTTCTTCTGGTCTCATGGCAGAGGAGGCCGACGTTCATGGAGGCAGCTATTCACACATTCCATATCCTCCTCCTATTCCTGATTCTCCTTCCTCTGTTGCTACAGGCAAATAGAGACCAATTGTTGTGCCTTGGATGGCTGCTTACAAGCTTTTAAGACCCCAGACACTACACAACGAACTAGGAGGTAGAACAGAAACACTAAACACGTCATTAGACCAGTTAACTGGGATGTTCTATGAAACTGTGACCAAGGAACCAAACCCCATGAGGTTTTTTCTGGTCCTCATTGTAAATATATCACACACACAGTTTCTGCAAGTTCAGCTTTTTACAGGTGTACAACTTACTGACATCAATTACAGTAATTGCCTGTGCAACCCTACTCTTAATCAGTACATATTTTTAAAATCAGTTATGTTTTAATTGATTAAAATGTGAGGCAAAAATAGTGTTTATCCACATAGTTACCATTTCTGGCATCTTTCTTTGCTTTGTATAGTTCCAGATTTTGATATGGTACCAGTTTTTTTCTGGCTGAAGAGTTGCCTTTATCATTTCTTGCAGTACAGGTCTGGTGGCAATGAATTCTTTCAGGTTGGTTTGTCTGAAGAAAGCTTTTATTTCACTTTTGAGTTTTGAAAGATATTTTCACTGGGTATCATATTCTGAGTTGGCAGTTTTTCTTTAAGTACTTTTAAATATTTCATTGCCTTCTGGCTGCATAGTTTCTATGTTGTCATTTTCATCTTGTCTGTAGATAATGTCTTTTTTTGGTCTGGCTGCTTTTAGGTTTTATTCCTGGTTTTCAGCAATGTGATAGTCATGTGCTTCAGTGTGATTTTCTTTAAGATTATTCTGCTTGGGTTTCATAGAGCTTCTTGGATCTGTGGGTTTATACTTTTCAACAAATGTGGAAAAACTTAAGCCGTCATTTCAAGTGTTTCTTCTTTTTCTTTATGAGACCAGTATTTTAGGCCACTTAATATTGTCCTATAGTTTAATGTCATTATTTTGTTTCATTTTACATAGTTCCTGTTGTTTGTCTTCGTGTTCACAGATTTGTTTCTTGTGCATTGTCTAATCTTTTATTAATTCAGTGAGTTTTTCATTTTAGAAACTTTAGAAATTCAGTTTGGATCTCTCTTATATTTTCCATTTCTTTCCTCCTCATGTTCATGCTTTCCTTTACCTCCTTGAGTATATCCTACATATTTATAATAGCTGTTTTCTGGTTGTTGTAAAAATATATATAGATAACATATTTGCCAGTTCAACATTTGTCATTTGCACAGTTCACTGAAACCAATTAATTATGTTATGCAGCCATCACCAGAATCAATTGCCATATTTTCCATTCCCATAAACAGAAACTCAGTGCTAGCTAAATAAAAATTTCCCTCTTTCCCTTTCCCTCCTACCCCTGGTAACCACTGTTAAACTCTGATCTCTATACATTTGCCTATTTTAAGTGTTCCGTATTAATGAACTCATACTGTATTTGTCCTTTTGAGATTGACTCATTTTACTTAGCATGATGTATTCAGGGGTCATCCATGTTGTCGTGTGCATCACAACTTCATTTCTCTCTATGGCTGAGTAGTACTCCATTGTGTGTGTAGGTGTGTATGGACCATATTTGAGTTGTTTCCTCCTTTTGGCTATCGGGCATAGTGCTGCAGTGAACTTTGGTGTACATGTGTCTGTTAGTGTCATTGTGCCTTCAAGTCTCGTGGGTATATACCTGAGAATGGGATTGCTGGGTCACATGGTAGCTCTGTTTTTCACTTTTTGAGGATTTGTCAAAAACTGTTTTCCACAGCAGCTGTACCGTTTTGTGTTCCCACCAGCAATGGATGAGGGTTCCGATTTCTCTGCATCCTCATCAGCAATTGTTATTTTCCTCTTTTTTTTAGCCATCCTAATGGGAGTGAAATGATGTCTCATTGTAGCTTTATTTGCATCTCCTTAGTGGTATAATGGAAACCTTGGTAGCGTAGTGGTTAAGAGCTACAGCTGCTAACCAAAAAGGTTGGCAGTTTGAATCCACCAGGTGCTCCTTGGAAACTCTAAGGAGCCCTGGTGGTGCAGTGGTTACATGCTTGGCTGGGAGGAAAGATATCCATAAAGATATCCATAAAGATTTGCAGCCTTGGAAACCCTATGGGGCCATTCTGCTCTGTCCTATAGGGTTGCTGTGAGTTGGAATCAATGGCAGTGGATAGCTTTGGTTAATGTTATAATAGCTGTTTTAATGTCATTGTCTGCTAATTCCATCATATCTTTCATTTCTAGATCTGACTTTTTTTAATTTTAAAAAGTTTTATTCTGTAGATTTAGAAATTTGAGATTTTTAATAACAGCAAAAGAAATTCAGTCACACCTAATGATTAACAGAATGTAGTGGCATATTATCTAAGCAGAAATCGTGCCGATATGCCATAATAAATTGTCTATGAGTAAAAAAAAATACACTTTAGGGCACAGCATTGTTATCACAAATTACAGTAGCGATACTTTGCAAGAATTTAATCAAACTAAAGTATTCTGAGTAACTGTATCTTTTAAATGCAGCACTTAAAAATGTAACAACTCTGTGCATTCTTTTTCTTAAAAAATGACCTTGTGTGTCATAGAAACGCTGCTTTATTGCTGCAGAGGTCAAAGTTCAAGGCTCAGGAGGTACAGGAGAATACAAAGGTAGCCTTAAGAAACTTGTTTATGTATAAAAAAGGTAAAGTTTATAAAAGTTCATTTACAAACCAAGAACAAAAGTGGTGTGCACACATTATGTACAAGCATCCTTAATGCACAGCCAAAAAGAACAGAAAACAACCACTATCTCTTGCCAAAAAAAAAGCCCCAAAAAACAACAGCAAAAACCTCCCCAAATCACACCATTATTTTCTTCTGGGTGATTATACATTTCTGAAACCACCAAATTCACTATTTATCACTTACTCAATCTTTTTGTCATGATACAGTATTTAGTTGTGCACAAAAGTCATAAAGACTTAGTAATACACAGCGAGAATGATCTAGATCTGACTTCTTACTGATTTTCCTTCTGGTTATGGAGCACATTTTCCTCCTTTATATGTCTATAAATTATTGATTGGATGCTGGGCATTTATTTTTACGTTGTTGAGTGCTGTATTTTATTGTATTCCTTTAAAATGTATGTTTTTTGCAAGTAGTTATTTGCAGATTTGTATGATCTTTTTGAGGCTTGGAAAGCTCTCTTAGGACGGATCTGGAGTAGCCTTTATTCTTGAGCTAATTTCGCCACACTTCTAAGGCATGACCCTGCTGGACTATTGGATTGCCTTGCGTATTCAGCAGGCTGTCTCCACTGTGGCCGTAGGGACCTTGAAGAACTCCTGGCCTCGTGTGCCCTCTGTGTGTTCTCCCTATAGTTGCCCGGTAGGTACTGTTTGTTTGGAAGTTCTGCTTTCCTGGCCTCATGAAGTTTCACTCTGTGCATGTATACATTAGTATTTAGCCACAGGTCCAAGGGGACCTCTGCAGATTGCTGGAATTCTTTCTTCTTTAGAACCTGGCCCCACAAACTCTAGCTGCCTTGGCTTCTCTGAATACAGTCTTCTCTCTTGTCCTCATCAAGACCACTTGTCTCTGTCTGGTTCCCCTCCTGTGCTGTGGCCTGGAACTGCCTCCAGGTGGTAAGCTGGGCTTAGGACTCCTCTCATGTTTTCCTTCTCCCAGAGACTGCAGTCCTGAACTACCTGTTGTCTGGTATCTGAAAGCAGTTTTACTTATTTTCTTTGGTTTTCTAGTTGTTTATAGTGGGAGTACAGGCCTTGTGGCAGTTAAGCCTTCAGGAACAAAGCAGAAGTCTGTGCATATGCTTTGGATCTCTTCTCCGTGTCCCTACATCAGCGTCTCCCTTACTAATAGCCTTACCGTTTTCAGTGGCTCTACACAGAACACCATTGCCCCTCACTCCGACTCTCATCTTTCCTCCCATATGAAGCAAGGTGTGTTGCTCCTTTGCTTCTTGTTGCTATCATCCGGAGGTTTCCTGGATCTCACACCCTGGGATTTTCAGTCTCCGGACTTGGCTGAAAGCCAGCAGCCCCATCCCTGGCTGTGGAGCCAGAGCTGCCCTTGGTGGGTGCTTTGACCCTTGGTAATGGAGGTAGCAGCCCTTGTTGTTCTGTGTGAGGAGCTGAGGACTCACATCAGAGCCTTCTCTTTTTTTGTTTTTCCAGGGCAACCAATGAAGTGCAACCTTCACATGAATGGGAACGTTATCACCTCAGACCAGCCCATCCTGCTGTAAGTTCCAAAGGCAGGGGGACTGGGGTGGGGCGGAGCTTTTCTGCTCACTTACTGGGTGTGATCATCTCTTTTTATTCTGCATCACGGGGCTCAAATTGGAACAAAGTGGCTTGTCTTGTCATTTCCCCAGGGGATTGTCCCCACAGGGTCTGTCATTAAGACCTCGTTCTCAGTTTTACACATAAGTTTAGAAACACCTGAGATGAGAGTGGAGAGCAGGCCAGTCCTGTCCTCCTCTGCACAATTGCAGGCATCGACCAAGGGAAAAGAAATCTCCACTTGTTGTGACTAATTTGGATGGGGATGCGTACCAGGTGCTGCCTCTCATTTTGTTACACACACCTGGGTATACGTGCCTGGCCCGGGACTGAGGACTTCTTTGGAGCCCAAGATGTATAAGCTGTTTGTGGCAGGACACAGTGCATAAATGGCAGGACATCATTTTATAGATGAGGAGACAGAGACCCAGGGAGGATATTGGACCTGCCACAGTCACTTGGCCAGTGCCTGGCAGAACCTGGAGTGTCACCAGGTGTCCTGACTCCCAGCCAGTGTGCCTTCTCCTCCTTGACCCTTGCTTTGGGGTTATGGGGAGTTTTTCAGTTTCTCATCTTAATTACTGGGAAATTGAAAGGCACTCTAAGAAAGAGTATTAAACTTCATTAAAGTTTTAAGTGGTTGAGTTTACCACTGGAAGTTAGTAGTGCCTTTAACACAAATAGAAATGGTTTGTTAAAATACAAAGGCAGTATTTGGAATTACATGCACTTGTTCACCTAATGTTCATTGTGAGCTGCTTGTGCTCAGCAGTGTGCTAGGTGCTGGGTGTGTCAGTGGGAGCAGGACATGGTCCCTGCCCTTACTGAGTTCTCACACTGGTCAGCTGCTGTGCTTGGCTACAAACTGTGATGAGCCTAGAAGGAAATGAATGGGCAGCCATGCTGGAGAATAAAGGTGATTAGCTGCTTTAATTGGGGGAGGGCTTAGCGGGTACAGGGCAGGCCTGAAATAGGCTTTGAAATTTAGAAGGACCAGGACTTGAAAGCTGAGAAATAAACTGTGTGATTTGAACAAGTTTCTTAAACTTTGTTCCAGGAAAAATGGTTTTGTGACCTGATGAGTTTGGGAAACATTGGGCACAAAAGAGTTAAATCGATTTCTTTACTTCAGGCCATCTCAGAATGTGCTGTATGCTAATATATTATGTGACCACCTGGAGGGGCGGGACATGCAGCGGTTCCTAAACTTGGGACCCAGAACAGGCAGGCTGCATCTCAGTTTTCTCATCAGTAAATAAGAAAAATGATAGATTTGCTACAAGATGAAATGAGATGAAGGGGTATGGAAGCATGACGCTCAGTGTCTAGCTCATAACAGATGCTCAGTAAATGGTGGATCCCCTCCCCATCTTAGGAAAAACTGGCAAGGATTTTGACTCTTCTTTGCTCCCCACAGGCGGCTGAGTGACAGCCCCTCAGTGAAAAAGGAGAGTGAGCTGCCTCGCAGGGTGAATTCTGTCTCCTCATCCAACCCTCCTGCTGAAGTGGACCCCGACACCATCCTGAAAGCGCTCTTCAAGTCTTCAGGGGCCTCTGTGACTACACAGCCCACAGAATTCAAAATCAAACTTTGAGTGGGGCAGTGAGGCAGCCAGAGTGTTCTGGGGACAGAGGAGGGTGGCTCTGTTTCCCAAAGCCAAGCTTGTGACCAATGGGCCATCGGACTGGAGGCCCCGAGAGTGGGGAGGGCCGCCGGGGTAGAGATCTCCTCACTGGACGGGACCCGCCTTTCTGTGTTGTGTTCCACCCTGTGCTCTTCTGTTCGTTAATGTCCCTGTGGTATGTTTTTTCTGTTCTCCACCTCGTCATCAAGACAGGCTTGTGTTTCTCAGAGTGTGTCCTTCCTCCCTCTAAGCTCGGCCCCAGACTGAATTCTTATGTGGAAATGTAGCACTCAGTTGTCTGGGTTGTCCTCTTGTGGTCCTGTGGGATGCAGGGCTGGGGCTGTTTGAAGGAGACTGCTTTTTCCAGGAGGTAAGGGGGGCACCAACCCCTGCCATCATAAGGGGATCCGGAATAGCTCGACAGTGAGCCTGGGTGGGGATCGGGTCACAGGCCCCTGTTCTCTCACCGTGATTAGTTCTAGACGTGGTGTCCCGGAGAGGGCCACGTGGCAAGGGCAGGTGAATTGCTGCACTGCTATGAGGGTGCACCCCAGCTCTTGGCTTGGAAGGCTCTTGCCATTTCTGGCAACCCAAAGTACATTGTCAAAGTTCATGTTTCCCTTTTTTCTTGGGTTATACCAAATGCCCTGTCCCAGCTGTCTTAGCCTTCTGGGTGTCACTGCTGGGAGGGGCTGCATTGTTACCTGTCCCAGTCTGGCATGGCATTCATCACACCCTGGGTTTGGTTCAGATGCTAGCTGAGTCAACTCTTCACTTGCTGGACTTTTCAGATGCTTCCCGTTCTTTGGCATTGTGGGTTTGGGGGATTATTTGAATGCGAGATGTTGGCTGCAGCTTGCCCTTGTCTCTTGCTTTCTGGCCTCAGACGTCTTACAGGACAACAGGAATGCTGAGAGGGACATACCCAGCTGCCACCAAGGGATACTGTCCCCTACCCTGTGGGTGGCTCATCCATCAGTGACCAGAGGGGTATTTTCCTGCTTTGGCAGTCGGTGGTTAAGGGAGCAGAGCAGCTGTTCCAGGCAAGCCAGTGGGTAGTTCTCCATCATGGTCCCTGGCAGCTGAGGCTTCCCTGAATACAGTCTCCTGTTGATTTGTTGGAACTGAAGGGAGCCCAGGCTGTCAGCCAGAGTGAGCTGGGGAGCAGGCGGGAACTCTCCAAAAGCAATAGCAAGTGATGTGAAAGACACAGGGCTAGAGCTCCAGGCCCTGGAACACTGAGAGCCTCTGAGGACCTGCGGGGGGTAGCCTAGTGGAAAACACTTAGAAATTCATGTTTCCACAGCTAAATCTGTCAGGCAGGAGGGACTCAGGGTTTGAACACACCTTCAGTCCTTCAGCTCTGAGGTTGGCCTAGGATGTCCAAGGAAGGTGCCCGCTTTCGGGTTCTTTCAGGGATTCTGCTTTTCTTCCCTTTTTCCCCTTTGAGTGGTTACAAACTTAGTTCTCCTCAGCATCTGGAAGACATCCCTCCTCCACTCTACCAAGAGAGCACCCAGAAGGCAGTAGGATCTGGTGTCTCAGGTGCTAGAAACAGATTTGTGTTTGGACTCTGCTCAGTAGGAATGGTAACTATACTGCCTGCATGACTTTACCTTCCGCTCCTGGTCCCGTGGCAGGTGTGCTTTGTTCATTGGTTCCATAGAGCCCAGCTACAGCCTCCTGGCCGTCTGGAGCCCGTGCTTTGGATAGCCATATGGGAGACTGGGGAGGTGGAAACTGTTTGCCTCCCTGCTCTGCAGGTCGTCATTGTGGGGAACAGGGAAGGGAAGGTGATGGACTCTATCCTCGTCTCCCTCTCCACCTCCCACTCCTATTACATTACCCATCTCTGTTTCTTTTTGTTCGGAAGGAGAGGAAGAGGCATCAAGTAATGGAGAAGACTGTGTATTAACCATTTCTGAATAAATGTTTGTTATTCCTACCTTTGAGCTGTCATTTCTTAAAAAATTCTAAGTGGCCTATTGGGACTTGGCACCAGAAGACAGGAATTTGCCTCTTTGCTTTACTGCTCACCAGCTGTGACCTTGGACCAGCTCCTCACAGGAATTCACTGAAGTTTAGTCTTCTGCAATTGGGAGTGTGAACCTTCATGTCTGTGGAAGCACCTGGCACAGCAGCTTTTGGGCCTGAAGTGTCTCCTGGGTGTTAAACGTGGTCAGCTCCAATATAGTGAAGTCTGTTCACAGGGAACAAGAGAGGTTGCCTAATGGCCTTTTGCCTGGGTTTGAAGAAGTTACAGTCATGGGTGAAATTTATCTCTGAGATCAGCTATGCTTAGCTGCTGCTGTTAGGTGCTGTAGAGTCAGTTCTGACACAGCAGCCCTGTGTACAACAGATCGAAACACTGTCTGGTCCTGTGCCATCCTCACAATCGTTAGGCTTGCGCATTGTAGCAGCTACTGTGTCAGTCTATCTCATTGAGGGTCTTCCCCTTTTTTGCTGTGCATTAGAAGGAGAAATTAGTTGTTTGTGGTTAGTTTTATTATATCAACAGTGAACAACACTTCCAGAAAGGTGGCATAGAGGTACTTATCCCTATGCCTCCCACTAAGTACAGCTAAAAACCCTGGAGCCCTTGTGGCGCAGTGGTTAAGAGCTCAGCTGCTAACCAAAAGGTTGGCAGTTTTAATCCACCAGCTGCTCCTTGGAAACCCTAAGGGGCGGTTCTACGCTGCCTTACAGGGTCGCTGTGAGTCAGTATCAACAGCAATGGGTTTTTTTACATAAAACACGTTAAGACTCTTGAGAGGTGGAAAGATTAGAAGCCGTACTGGCAAGGGACCTCAGAATCCAAGGAATGAATGTCACCAACTTCCCTGAGTTTTCTTTTTGCCTCATAGCCCAAATGGTGCTGGAGGAGTGGGCAACCCAGAAACGCCAGTGGGTACAGACGAAGCCCAAGAAAAGCCTGCTCTTTCCAGCCAAGGGAGCAGGAAAGGCAGCCCAGCAAGATAAACTCCAGCTGAGCTCCACAGGGAAAAAATGTGACACCACCCTCGCCAGCAAAGGCTGAGTCAGGAGCCTAGACTTCCATCCTTGCTAGGCTGTGTTGGTGTGCCCCAAAGCCCTCAGTGGGGAAGTGTCAGAGAAGGCCAAGTAGGAAGCTGGAACTTAGAGCTGGTGTCAGTGGAGACCACATGGGGAGAAGAAATGAGACACTCCAGCCTCTCAAAGCCATGGTGTTCTATCAGCAGAGGCATAGTGTGAAGAAAGAACTCCCACCTAGCAGTAACGAGAAGCCCCTCACACCCTGAGTGTCGGCAGAGGTCAGGTGGGGAACTTGGATTTCCACTTGGTACCAAAGTGGTATCTCTCTGTCCCCAAGATCTAGAATCTCATAATACCCAAAGTGTCCAGGTTTCAATCAAAAGTCACTCATACCAAGAAGCAGGAAATCTCTAATGAGAAAAGGCAGTCAACAGACATCAAAATTGAGAAGACAAATGATGTTAAAATTATGTGACAAGGATTTTAAAGCAGCCATTATAAAATGTTTTCAACAAGCACTTAATGAACATGCTTGAAAAATGAAAAAAAGTTTCAGCCAAGAACTAGAAGATACAAAGAAGAACCAAACAAATTTTAGAATTTAAAAATACAATAACCAAGGTAAAAGAATAGAAAGGAATCAGTGAATTTGAGAACGCTGTAATGCCATAGCAAATATTTACATAGAATTCCCCCAGACTTTCCCCCAAAGATAACTTATTTCTAGGGCTGTTGTATATAGGATCTGAGCTGACACTGATACCTGCAAACCTAAAATGCCATCATGGCTCCTGTATGCCTTTGGAGGCCAGATAAGTGGAGTCCTTTGTCCTCCATCTAAACATGGTCCACACTGAGCTCTTGATCTGCCTGCCCTTCCCTGCTTCAAGGTCCCTTCTCTCTTACAGTCTTATCAGTAAACAGTAACACCATCCTAGTTGCTCAGACCAAAAGCCTAGCAGTAGTCCTAGATTTCTCTCTCACCACATACCCAATCAAATCCTATTGGAATTCTTCAAACATACCCAGAATTCTACCTCTCACCACACCACAACCACTTCCCTGGAGCCAAGACACATCTTTCCTTAGGATAATTGCAGTGGTGTCCAAAACGAGTGCCCTGCTGCTGCCCTTGCCCTTCCACGGTCTAATCACAATACAGCAGCCAAAGGGACACTGTGTACACGTCACTCCTCTGCTGGAAATCCCACAGTGGTCCGCATCACACTCAGTAACAGCTAAGGTCACCCCCGTGATCCACCAAATCCTATGGGTTCTGCCAAGCTCCCCCCCCCCCACCCTAGGACACTCCTCCTTGACACCTGAATGCCTTGCTCCCTCACCTGCTTCAAGTATTTGTTCAAATGTCACCTCAATGAAATCTTCACTCTATTTAAAATTGTGTCACCTCTCCTCCACACTCCATCCCCCTTCATTTTTCTCTTCGGCGCTTACACTATACTTCATACGCTTTATATTTTATTTCTTTATGTGTTTATCCTCTCTGTCTCCTCGTTAGAATATAAACTCCAGGAAGGCTGAATTATGTTTCATGGCTGTATCCTTAACGCTTAGTGCCTGGAGCACTCACTGATCTTTGAGGAATGATGAATGAATGGGTGACTGCATGAAAAGCTCAGAGTTGCATCTGTGAACAACCCCCGCCAACGCCGACATTTACTCCGACTTTCATTCCCCTATTTTATTTTGAGCAAATGAAGGGTGTGGCTTTGAGGTGGCGGAGGCCGGAGAGAGAAGTCCGGAACCGAGAAGGCGGCGCCCCATGCGGCGCCGTAGTCAAGGAAACGCTTCCACTCCCAGCGCTCAACTACAGCTCCCAGCGGCCTCCGCGGCTTCCGGCTGGCAAGATGGTGGCGCGCAAGAGAAAGCGTGCGGAGCGAGACGCTGAGAGTCTCCCGAGCCCTCCCGGCTACTCAGGTAGGGGCCCGGGACGCAGACCGGGGCCGGCGGCTTCTCCGGGACGTGGCTCGGGGGTCGGCGGGCGGGGGAAGCCGGAGTCTCCAGGGGCGACCGCGCGGTTGGGCGACAGCCCAGCTGCCCCCGGCGGCTCCCTTCTCTCGCCTGTCTTCACTCCCCCCGGGGCGAGCCCATTTCTGTCTACATTCGCCCTGGGCGTGCCCATCTTGTCCACGCTTCCCCTGGGTGAGCCCACCTCTGCCCACCCACCTTTCCTCCCAAGGGCGAGCACGACTCAGTCAAAGTTCTTTCGGGGTGGGCCCATCTCTGTCCACACGCCCCCACTCCCCTGAGCTCCTCCGCTTCTCATCCCGTCTGCAGCCCCTAGTCCAGTAGCCATCAACTCTCACCTGGGCTGTTACGCACACTCTTAACTGGTTTCCCTGCTTCTAGTCTTGCCCCTGCCTCTGTTCTCCAGATACCAGAATGTTTTTGATTAGGTCAAAGTTAGATCATGGCTCACACGCCCACCCATAACCCCCACACTCACACATCTCCCTCCCGTGGCACAAGTTAGCACCTAAAATAAAATCCAGACTTCTTACTGTTGAGGTCCATGGCCCCACAGGTCTCATGTCTCCGACCTCATCGTCCATTGCTCCTCGCCCTTACAAAGCTTCAGCCTCAGTGGCCTCCTTTCTGTTCCTCTGACCACGACGTTTCTAGCCTCGGGGTACTTGCACGTGCGGCGCTTTCTTCCTCAGACAGCTCTGCCCTTTCCTGTCTTCTGATCTCGGCTTTCATGTCTCTTCCTCAAAGAGACCCACCCTGGTGTCCTAGCTAAAGAAGGCTTCTGCCACTTCATCACCCTGGACTACTTCACCTTGTACGTTTTTTTCATAACTTATACACTCGTTATATGCTTACTTATTCATTGTCATTCTTGCCCATCCACTGTAAGCTTCCTGAGGACAGGGGCTGCAGCAGTATCCCCACTGTACTCTGAAGATGGTGGTGAGGAAAACAGCCCCTAACTTGATGAGGATTAAAATTTTGTGGGAATGCCAATGATTAGGCAAATAATCACACAAATACAGACTTACAGACCGTGAGGGAGGCTGTGAAAGCAGGTGGATCTAACCTGGTGAGGGGTGGGAGTGACAGGTAAGGCCTTCCTGAGGAGTGATGTTTGAGCTAAAACTTGAAGAATGGGTAGAGGGAAGAGGATTGGTGTTCCAGGTAGAGGGAATAGCATGTGTGAGGCCCTGACTTATTGGAGGAGCAGAAAGAAGGTCAGAGTGCCAAATGTGAGGGGAGGGTGGTGCTAGGAGAGGCACAGAGGTGGGCAGGGGCTGCGTCATGCCGGGCTTCCAGCCATGGTTTATTCCAAGAGCAGCAGGGAGCCACTGGAAGGAAGGTTGAAGCCCCTCACCTATAATAACTGCCTGTTTATATGTTCTTCCCCCACTCACTCTCATCGCCTCAGCACCCTGCACAGCCAAGGGGGAGGGCTTAATGAAGAATGGATGTACGGACAGCTGGATGGGACTAAAAGGGACATGGAGAAGGGAAATTGTGTGACTGCCCAGCTGGCCTCAACTTAGAGCACCTTGTGGGCCATGGTGTAGCCTGAATCTGACTCGTACCTTCTGTCCTGGCCCTATTTCCCTTCCAGCCATTCCAATCAAGTTCTCTGAAAAGCAGCAGGCATGTCATTACCTCTATGTGAGAGAACACAGAGTTCGAGAAGGCACCAATTCTGCCTGGCCTCAGAAGCGGACCCTTTTTGTCCTCAATGTACCCCCATACTGCACGGAGGTGAGCCAGCATCTGGGAAGGGGCCTGTGGGCTCAGGGGCTCCAGGCAGAGCTGAGCATTAATAGGAGCCCCAGGGGAGGGTATCCAGAGGGTCACCTCTATCTGTTGTGACAGAAAATTGGCATTTTAAAGAGAATCTAAATCTTCAGAAACGAAATTCTAAGGAGCTAGAGCTTTTTATGTGTTACTCAGAATTTTTTGAAAAAAACATGTTTGAATTACATGTATTTTTTTTTTCCTGATTATAAAAGTAATACCTGTCCATGGTTTTTTTTAAAAAAAAAAGGCAGTGGAAGAAAATACCTCTAACTCTACTATACGGACATGTCTATTGATTTTTTTCACAAAACTATTAAATTCATATTAGTAAGTTTACAGAAGAAAAAGAAGCTAAGGAAATTACTGGATTTTAGATCATTTATTTTCCAAAAGAAATATTAATTTCTAAAAGATTCCACTAAAGTGAGCAAGATATGCACTAAGACGAGGGGCGTCATCGTTCACCCTTATTGGCAGGTGGTGCCCGTGAGGAGAAGTGCGCAGTTGGTGGGTACAGCTCGCTGCATCTCACACGCTGACCGGACCCATGCAGTCAGCACCCAGAATATCACTTGCACCCCAGAAATCCCTCGTACTCCCCCCACCAAGAATGACAATGTCCTGATGCTAACAACATTGATTTAACTCTTTTTTTAAAAAAAAAATTTATTTTTGTTGTTGTTGAGAATGTGCATGGCAGAACTTACACCAACGCAACAATTTCTGCGTGTACAACTCAGTGACGTTGCATTTCTCAAGTTGTAAAATCCTCACCCTCCTTTTCTGAGTTGTTCCTCCCCCATTAACATAAACTCACTGCCTCCTAAGTCTCCGATCTAATCTTTCGAGTTGCGGTTGTCAGTTTGATCCCATATAGATAGATCTTAAAAGAGCACAGTGCTCAAGGCAGACATTCTTTACTAGTTATGCTCAACTATTGTTTGGTTTTTTAGAAGACTTCAGGGGATATTTTTAGTTTAAGGTTTAGAGATGATCTCAGGGCAGTAGTGTCATGGCCTCATCCAGCCTCCGTGGCTCCAGAAAGTCTGGCTTCCGTGAGAACTGAAATTCTGCTGTGTTTTCCCTCTTTTGATGAGGATTCTTCCATAGAATCGTTGACCACCGTGTTCAGTAACGGTAGCAATTTAACTCATTTTTAAGTGGCTGATTCAGGTAAAACCCAGTTGGTTGTCTCATAACATCATGATAATCAAGTAACACGAAAATGTCTCCACCTAGTTTTGTAATAATTTTTTCTAAGCATTTAAACCTGAGTCCTACTCGAGGGATCATTCTCCCAGAGAAATTGGTAAAAACTAATCTTTCAGCAAAAGGGTCTTTCAAAATGCAAAGTCCACTTCTGGAACCAGCCAAACGCATGATGGCTGTGTGATCCGAGCAGGGGCCTGTCTTAACGTCAAAGAGGTTCTACCTGAATCAGACCCGCACGCCTTCTTCTCCTCCTTCCTGAGTCACCTGGCCACGGGAGGTGTGGCCTTGTACCCAGTTTTCAACATGAACATTCGCAAGGTTTTGTCTTGGGAGCTTTGGGAGGGTGGGAATTTTGGCTTCTGTGTTGTACATGAGGGAACAGGTGAAAGGAAAGAGTGGCTCCCCCAGCATGCCCCTGGTTGGGCAGCTGCGGGCTCCTGGTAGGGCCCTGCAGATGCTCACACCTCTTCTCTGGGGGCAGGGGTGCCTGTCCCGCCTCCTGTCTCCCTGCGGCTCTGTCCAGTCTGTGGAGTTACAGGAGAAGCCGGACCTCACCGAGAGCCCAAAGGAGCCAGTGTCGAAGTTTTTTCATCCCAAGCCCGTTCCGGTAAGCCTCCAGGTGCCTGAGCTCTGCTCGAGTGAGGTGTGGGTGGGGAGAGGGCCACCTCCCCAGCATGAGGCGAGGGCCTTGTCAGGGGCCGTGGGGTTTGCAGAGCACTCCCTGCATCTTAGGCCCCCTCGTGGTGTGTGAGCTAGGAGGCCTGTCAGGTTAAACAAGCCTCCGCTTCTGTCCTCGATTTGCCACATCCTTTAACTTCCTCTCTGGCTTTTTCCATTGTCCTGTGTGAAAGCTCAGAGGCCGTCTCTGCTCGTCTCTCTGAAGGGCTCCCCAATGTAGGTTCTTCCTCAGGTCCAGCAGCTCGGTCTCTAGGAGCCTTGTCCTTTCCACGGTTCCCTGGGTCCCTTGAGCCCGCCTTCTCCTGGCATCAGCAGTGCAAACTGGCATGTGCCCCGTCTGTCCACTCTGGGCCCCTGGCTCCATGAAGCCTAGTCTTCCTGCCTGCCTGGGCTGGGGTGGGCACCCTTTTTCATCGAGTCCCTCCCAAAACTGAGAAAGAGCCTCTGTGTGTCTCGCCCACTCACTGGGGAGGAGGTGGGAACAGGCAACATGTCTAGCAGAAGCTGAGTGTCTGGGAGCGGGGCTGTCCCTCACCTTCTCCTTAGTTTCCCGGTTCAGCAACAGCCCGGCACCACCCCCTGCCCCAGCACAGCGTAGGGTGGGGGCGGCTGGGGGGCCTGTGCCAGCAGGGGGGCTGGGGAGGAACAGGAGGCTCCCTACACTGCCCGTGTTCTCTCCCCAGGGGTTCCAGGTTGCCTACGTGGTGTTCCAGAAGCCCAGTGGAGTGTCGGCTGCCTTGGCCCTGAGGGGCCCTTTGCTGGTCTCGACAGAGAGTCACCCTGTGAAAACTGGTGTTCACAGTCAGTACGGCCGGCGGGCTAGTGCCTCCTTCCTGGGCCTGGGGTGGTGGGGTGACTGATGAGAGGTAGCCTCTGAGAATGCCATGACCCACGTCCACTCCCTGGAGAGCAGTGGGTGGGACGCCTGCCGGGTGTGTCTGGGACACGTCGGGGAGACATTACCCTGAGCTGTTGGCTCGAGTGTATCAGACACTGGGGGTGGACATAGGTGACGCCCAGCTTCCGGACACTAGACTCTTCCTTTCCACCTAAGCACCAGCTCAATCCCTGCAGCCCCTTGTAGGGGATCCCGACTCCCTGGCAGGTCCCGGGGTGGGGCCTTGAGCCTGGGCCTGAGGAAGCCCATCCTCCCTTGCCCTTAGAGTGGATCAGCGAGTATGCAGACTCAGTGCTGGACCCCGAGGCCCTGAGGGCCGAAGTGGACACGTTCATGGAGGCGTATGACAAGAAGATAGCTGAGGTCGGGGCGGCCACCTATGGTGGGGGGGATGGTGCCGCCACGGGCTGAGGTGCGCCTTCGAGGGTGGGGGCGGCCGCCAGTCCTTGGTCAGCTCCTAGAGCCCAGGCTGCCTTCTTCCCTGTGGAGTCCTGGGCCACCTGGCTGAGTGACTTCTGTTCTGTGAGTCGTCACTAGGGGACAACAGTGGAGGCAGTGTTGGTGGGTCTGTGCTGCCCCCATTCTTTTCTCCTTCCCATTACTTAGCCCCCCGCCCCCCACCACTTAGCCAGCAACACAGGAGGGGCAGCAGGTACTGTATGGCCCGGGGTGGGTTCTCACTGCAGGAGAAGGGTGCCTGGAGGGGTCGTGAGCCCTGTTGGCAGGCAGGCTCCTCAGCAGGATGGGGCGCCCCCGGGACTCGCCCCCCAGGCCTGCCTGCCAACAGGGCTTGCATGCCTCTCAGGAGGAAGCTAAGGCTAAGGAGGAGGAAGGCGTCCCTGACGAGGAGGGCTGGGTGAAGGTGACTCGCCGTGGCCGGCGGTCGGCGCTGCCCCGGACGGAGTTGGCCAGCCTGCGAGTGCTGGAGAGGGAGAAGCGGAAGCGCGCCCACAAGGAGCTGCTCAACTTCTATGCCTGGCAGCACCGCGAGACCAAGATGGAGCGTAAGGGACACCCCAGGGCCCTGCCCTCATGCCCCACAGCCCTCAGTGTGCAGCCCTGGCCTGGGGCACGCTGCTGTAGAGCGGGTCCTGTGCAGAGGATGGCCCACCCAGAGCGCCGGGCTCCAGAGGGCAGCACCAGGGGAGGCCTGGGAGGGCGTCCTTGGGCACAGACCTCCCAGGGGGCTCTGGGTCTGGGTCCTGCTTGGCAGCTGCATCTGCCTAGTGGGTTGGGGACCCTGGATTAGTTGGAGCCTGCAGAGGCCACTCCAGGCCCCTGAGAAGGTCATGTTGGAATCTGCACCTCCAGCAAAAGCCCGACTGCAGAGCAGAGGGTGGGGCTCAGCTGCTCACTGTGGGGGCAGAGAGGGCCACTGCCCAGCCGTGCACGCACGCGTGTGTGTGTGTCGGTGCATGTGTGAGGGAGTATGTGTGCACGGTGGGGCGGCCTGTGTATGTGTGTCGCTGCTGCATATGTGAGGGAGTATGTGTGTGGTGGGGTGGGCGTGTGCGGCGGGTCGCCCTGCATAGATAGTGTTCCTGTAGGTGAGCACCAAGCACCAAGCTGTTGCGGGGGATGCTGCTGAGATCACTGCCCCGGCCAGCTGGTCCTGGCTTGTCCCTTCCTCGGGGCCCTTTTTGCTTTCTCTGCTACTGGTGAATTTTCCATCCGATTCCACCCTCAGTCGAGTTTTCCCGCAGTACCCAGACCACTTCCCTAAAGCAGAGCAGGGAGGAGAAAGGCTCCCCAGTGGGAATCGGGGGAGGCCCACGTGCAAGAACCCCCTCTAGGCGGGCAGCAGAGCGAACCTCACCTGGGGCCGTGCTGTCTGACCCTGGCCCCTCTCTCCTCACCCCCAGATCTGGCACAGCTACGCAAGAAGTTTGAGGAGGACAAGCAGAGGATTGAACTGATGCGGGCCCAGCGCAAATTCCGACCCTTCTGAGCCAGCCGGGCCCTGGGGGTCCCCTTCGAGGGCACAGTGACTGAGGCACAGGGCCGGGCCTGGAGGGCGTGTCTCCATCGGGAGGGGCTACCTTGGCGAGTGGCATCTCTGAAGCCCATCTCTGAGCCCACACAAGCAGGAGGGAAGAACAGCGTCAGACTTGGTCCTGGTGTGACCAGGCCTGCCCAGTGTGAGGACTTGGCCCTCAGGACCCCCCTGCCCTGGAAGTGGCCCCCAGCCTCACAGTGTTTCCGCCAGCAGCTTAGGTGCAGGGGACCTAGTTCCAGCTCTGTTGTTCCCCTGCCCCCCTAGGCGGGAAAGCCTTGCTGGCTGTGAGGCAGCCGCAGGAGCAGTGTGAACACCAGGTCACTTATTCCTCATCCATCGGGCAGCGGTGACAGGCGGCAAGAGCCACGGGGGCCTGTCCCAGCCCCTTTGTCCTCCAGCCCATGCCAGCTCACCTCAATTAACCACAAAGTAGAACCGCCAAATCTGGACGCTGTCTTCCCTGTTGAATTCACAGATATTAAAGCCAGACTTTCAGACCCCCCGGTGCACCCTAGGATTCTCCACAGCGCGAGCTGCACTTTTGAGACTCGCGAGGCCTGGCCCCTGCACCGGCTCAGCTGCTGGCTGTTAGGAGGCAGGCGGGGGAGGCAGGTCTGGCCTGCACAAGGTCCCTGCAGCCCCTGGCCCAGGGCCACAGCTGGCCTGGGGCCCCCACCTTGCTCTGGAGAAAGGTGCTGGTGATCTTTGCCACTTGGGGTTCGTTCATGTGGACATGGTGGTTGCCAGGGGCTCCCACAAACTGGTACTGCTGGAGAAGGAAGGCATGTACAAGGTGAACTGGGCCCTGGGAGGCACGCTGCCACCCACCGCCAGCAGAGCCCCTCGGCCCTGAGGAGGGTTTGTGAACTCGGGTTACACCTCATATGCCTGCGTGTGTGCTGGGGGCCTCCTGGGCCTGCTACCTCCCCAGTGGTTCAAAAGTGTCCCTGAGGTGAGCTGTGGGGCAGGGACTGCGCATTTTCCCCACGCACTGCTCACAGCCCCACCCTGGGCCAGCCAATCCTGGCCTGATGGGGAGGAGAGTGTTCAAACGGGACACAGCACACCGGGGTTTGGGCCACGCTGGCTGTGGAGCTCGGCGGGGTGGGGGCTGGAGAACTTGGAACCTGCCTGGCCCTGACAGGTGAGGGCCCACAGCTGTAATGTGAGCTCTGATTCAGGCCACCCAGGCGGGAACTCTGAGGATGAACCCATTTTCACACTCGCCCCACCCAGCCTTGGCGATAGGAAGGCTGTGCCCCGTCCCAGCTGTGATCTGCCAAGTGCTCCCAGGGTCCCAGGCAAGAATCAAAGTCAGCACAAACCTCCAACTTGGAGACCCACACCCACCTGTAGCCAAGGCACTTGCTGAGGTAAAGTTAGCGGGAGGTGGTGCGCAGTGACTGCTGTGTTTGGGGACTTGTAAGATTGTGAAGCTGCCTCTGGCCAGGTTGGGCTTGGTCCAGGGAGATGCCGGAAAACAGTGAAACGAGGAGATTGTGCCAATGAAGTCTCCACAACCTGTGCTCTGACCTAAAGTGACCCAGCCCTCTGGGAACTTGGAATGTAGAGGGTGTGAGGCCTGAATGCTCCTGGGGTCACGTGGTCCTCTGCCAGGCCCGGGTCAGACCTGGGCCAGAGCAGGATTCCAGTGCAGGGAGGGGTGGGGAAGGTGAAGCTCAGAGGCTGGACGGGCAGCTGAGGGGGTTGGTGGCTCACCTCTTTCAGGACTGACTCAAGCACGCTGATTATGAAAAGCAGGGGTTCTGTGTTGTCCTCTCTCACGCTGGTAAACCCTGGAGTGCTCTTGAGAAGGAGAAGTCAGGGTTCATCTGAGGAGTCATCCTGCCCTGGGTGCCCAGGCCCCCCGAGAAGAGATTGGGCCCTGGCACAGCCAGGTCCCTTTTAATATTGGCCCACAGTCACGGCACTTGCTGTGGGCCAGGCGGAGCTCCGTGACTTGCCCACGGTCACAGCCACTGAGTGGTGGAGCCGGATCTGAGCGGTGCTCGAGTCCACGCCTTTTAACCCCGTTTGCTGTAAACACATGCCGACCCTGTGCTGCGTTCCAGAGACACAGGTGCCCCAGAAAGCCACAGGTCCTGCCTCGTGAACTCCAAGTCCAGGGCTGTAGGCAGGAGCATGAGGATAAGCCATAATAGAGGATTCCGAGGTGTAGGGGGAGGACCAGGCTGGGGGTGGTGATGTAGGGGGTCCCCGGGCAGCTGGGGGCTCCACAGGGCAAGGCTACATAGTAATGTCTGCCAGTCTGCCTTCCATGTTCCCATTAGAGCCTCGCCTGGGCGTCTGCCCGACAAACACCTGCTGAAAGCTGTGATGTCATTCTTGCCCATCCCTGCTGCCCGTGCCGTCTTGCCCAGACCTGCTGCTGGGAGTTGGGGGGCTTTCGGGGAAGGGTCACACGGGGCAGCGGTGGGGTTTCGCTACTGCGAGAACTGGAGCTTGAGCAGATAACCCTCCCGGACACCCTGCACCACCAACCTGAGCATCAAAGGGCCGGCTGCCCCGACTCATGTGAGGAGCAGGACATGAGCCTCCAGCTTCCAGATGTAGTGCGTGAACAGCTCCCTGGTGACGAAGTCAAAGAACCACAGTGAATTCCCACCAGACGGCACCAGGTGCTCATGTAGGCCAGAGCTGTGTCTCTGTTGGGGCAGCTGGGTCCTGGAGGGTCACTCCGCCATCTCCATGCTAGGACCCAGCCCAGTATCCGACCTCATCACCCCCTTGGTGAAGGCCTCTTTCATTCCCATAGTCTGGAAACCCTTCTCCCCGTATTCTGGGATGCTAGACTACATTTCCCAGACTCCCTTGCGGCCAGGTGTGGTCATGTGGCTAAATGCAGAGAAGTAACCTAGGCTACGTCTGGGCCTGGGTTGTAGCGCTGAGGCGTGGCCCTTCCACACCCCGTTTCCCCACCACACCCCGTTTCCCTGTTCACAGGCTGCCCACTGCACTGCCCCGCAGCCTGAGCCCTGCACTCTGCCAGGTAGAGCCACCTACCTGCGCTGGAGTGCAGAGCACAACATCTTGATGTTCCCACAGCCTCTCATTGACCTCCGTCACAGGCTCACATCCCTTACCACCCTGCCTGATGGCGACTGAATATTTCTCGGTCTGCGCTGTCCAAAGGGAGCCCTGGTGGTGCAAACTGAAGGGTCGGAGGTTCTAACCCATCAGCCACTCTGCGGGAGAAAGATGTGGCAGTCTGCTTCCGTAAAGATTACAGCCTTGGAAAACATATGGACCAGTTTTACTCTGTCCCACAGAGTTGGAATTGACTCAACGACTGGGTTTGGTTTGGGGTACTGTCCAACACTTGAACAGTAGCCACATGTGGCTCTTGAGTGCCTGAAATGTAGCTAGTTCAAACTGAGACATGCCTAGGCGTAAAATGTGCGCTGGATTTTGAAACAGTATGAAAAGAAGAATGTAAAATAATCATTTTTTATATTGATGACATGTTGAAATGATAACATCTTGGATATATTGAATTAAATAAAATATTAAAATTAATTTCACCAATTTCTTTTTACTCCTTTAATAGTTAGTTGTCGAATTGGTGCCGACTCAGAGCGGCCTTGTGTCTAACAGAACTAATGGTTGCGCAGTCCTCTGCCATTCTCACAATCATTGGGATGTCCGAGACCATCATTGCAGCATTGTGGAGTGCCTTCCAAACTAAGGAGCTCATCTTCCAGCACTATACTGAACAGTGTTCCATTGCAATCCGTGAGGTTTTCATTGGCTAATCTTTGGAAGTAGATCTCCAGGCCCTTCTTTCTAGTCTTAGTCTGGAAGCCCTATTGAATCCTGTACACCATGAGTGAGCCTGCTGGTATTTGAAATACCAGTGGCATAGCTTCCAGCATCATAGCAACCTGCAAGCCACAGCAGTACGACACACTGACAGACGGGTGATGGAATGTGACTACTAGCAAACGTAAAATGTGGTGACTTCACTGGGCGGGGCTGCTGTAGATGACGAACTCTCTGAGGACAGGAAATGGCAGAATGTTCTCTGAATCTGTAGCGCTCAGCACATGGCAACAGAGGAGGAGCTCAAGAAATGTATGCCAAGTAGATTAATTCAAGAAAGCTCCCGTAAGGACTGACTCATTAGGTCATCCCAATACTCCTATGCCATTGTGATTAACATAAAATCGCTATGAACATACACACAGAGCGGTCTGGTCACACAGCCATGAAAACATGGTGCCCTTGTTCTGCCCTGAACTTCAACCAACCACTTTCTGCTCTTCAGGCTAAGAAGACCTTGAGTGCCTTTCCAGAAACAGTTTCCCATGTCATGCGCAACACTCGATGAACTCGGGAAAGAGAACTGAGATTTACCGAGACCCCAGACATGCCACACACATCTCCTTCTGCAGCAGAGCATCGGTAAAGCACCTGGTGGGTACCAGTACTGATGCACATGTTACAATATAGTGCTTTATGGAGGAGGGGATGGAAGCTCCGAAAGGCGAAGTAATTGTGTCACAGTCAACAGCTAACAGGAGATGTCACCAGAACTCGAACCCAGGCCTGGACTTCCACCCCATGCAGCCTCTTCCAAAAAACTCAAACCAATGCCATCGAGTCGATTCCAACTCATAGAACTTCCCCATAAGGTTTCCAAGGCTGTAATCTTTACAGAAGCAGACTGCCACATCTTTCTCTCATGGAGTGGCTGGTGGGTTCTAGCCACCGACCTTTTGGTTAGCAGCCGAGCGCTTAACCACCACACCACCAGAGCCACTTAAAACCAAAACCAAACCTGTTGCTGTTGAGTTGATTCCAACTCCTAGTGACCCTATAGGACAGTGTAGAACTGCCCCACAGAGTTTCCAGGGAACAACTGGTGGATTCCAACTGCCGACCTTTTGGTTAGGAGCTGAATGCTTAACCACTGTGCCACCAGGGCTCCTTACACATGGATACAGCCATGTAACTACAGTGACACCTGTGAGAGCTGGAACTCGACGGGACAGCCTTGTTTTTCCGAGTCTCAAGTTTTCCACCTTGAGCAGTGTGCAGTCTTACACTTTCCTATCACTCGTTTTGGTGGAAAATAATTGAGTTTTCCTTCTCTGACAGGTTTACGCCTTATACTGGTTCCAGCTTTTGCAGGTTTTACCATATTACTCGGATCAAGACACAGAACACGGCCAGCACCCAGCAAGACCCCTCGTGCACTCTCTCATCATGCTTTCCAAGAGACTATTATTCTGTCCTCTCTCCCCATAGATGAATTTTGCCTCTTTGGAACTTCATAGAAATGAAATAAACACAGTATGGCTCAGCTTCCTCATCCGCAAAATGTGGGTAACAACAGCACCTACCTCAAGCGCTTGAATAGGGGGTGCTGTCCGTGTGGCCAGTGAGATCACCCTTGGCGTTGGTGTCAGTGCTGGTGTTGGTGTCGGTGTCGATGTCGGTGTCGGTGTCGGTGTCGGTGTCGGTGTGGGTGTCGGTG